GTCCACAAATAGGACAGCACTTTTTATTAAGGAAAAAAAGGTTGAGTGAACCAGATCAAAGCACTGCTGTATTGAAGCCACTGCTCTCATTCTTCCCTTCAAGGAATGCTTTGGCTATAACAGCCTGCAGAAACGATCCTATTCCATCCCTGCCCTCCAACATAACCTCTACAACCTGCAGAGAGTCAGCACCAAACCAACATCCTTTAAGGTTTTGTTCTTATCTGTATAAATTGAGGTAAATTCAGTTATTTACAGACCACTTCTTCAGACAGCCAGATTTGAATTTGTTGGAGGGAAAAAGAGAAAGCAGATCTAGTTGCTCCTTAACTATTTAATTCCCTTCTTCAGCCACAGTGCCTAAAAAAATCTATTACTGTACCAAAGAAGTTATATAGAAATAAAATTAGACATTTCACTGCAGTGTACCGTGACACAAGTGGAAATTATAATTATTTTGAAAGGAAAACTCCTTTCTAGGACTTCTCTAATTAGACTGCCCTTTCTTGCATCTCTCCCACATTAAACTTACTTCTCTCTCCTCCAGTGGAGCACGTCTCTCTATTTCTGCATTGTCATTCCCAGGGCAGACACCTGGACTGCTGCAGGAGATTTGCATCTCTGGTAGCACAAACTGACTGCCTCCTTCCATGGGAAGAAAAGCATCTCTACTCTTTCTCCTCCAGATTGTTTAACAGACTCTAATATGCACATTATTCAAGCACCAGCAGCAAAAAAAATGTTTAAACTCGCTGCAAAGCCCAAGACAAAACACTGGGAACACGGAGAGAACAGCTCCTTCTAAGGCTGAGATAGGAAACTGTAAACACTGTGCACATTACAAGCAAATTTACTTTTACCCTCTTCAACATGGGCGATGAACTAGTTAAAGGCAAATCCAGGTCTGAACATCATGAGACAAGAACCCTGGGAAGGCAGAGACAATTTCAGCTTCACAAATACAAGTTCCAAGCTGGTACTGAGAGAAGAAGGGTTATTAACTGCACCCTGATAAACACCGATTGCGTGTGCTTATTTCACCTCTTCAAACAAGGGAAAAGCAGATGGGCTTGTAACAGGAATGTGAGTCTGAGAGAAAAAAAAGGCAGCTAGTTTCCAAGCAATCTTACACTTTTTCCTCCTTATAGACGTTCCCAGGCTATTTCTACATATATGAAATCTAACCGAGAAAAACAGGAACCGCAGAACTTGAGAAGAAATCAATTTTTCGGGAATAAGGGTGGAAAGGAAGAGGAAAAAAATCCTTACCAACTGACTGGCCTTACTGTGCACTGTTCCAGGAGACCAAGAATTGATTCTGATGCAGCAGCATTCAGCCCTGGAGAAGTCAGACAGAGCAAAAAGGGAGGGGAGGTATGAGTAGGAAGGGAACGGAGAGCAGAAAAAGGGAGGGGAGAGCAAAAAAAGGGAGGGGAGAGCACAAAAAGGGAGGGGAGAGCAGAAAAAGGGAGGGGAGAGCAGAAAAAGGGAGGGGAGAGCAAAAAAAGGGAGGGGAGAGCATGTACACTGCATATCAGTTTGTTGAGCCCTAATATTGCTTTTGGGAAAGAGAAGAATGAAGCTACTTGTAAAGCAGGCTGGGTATTGCTTTGCAATGGTTCAAGAAGATAAAGGAAGGAGATCTTAGAATGACCATTTGACTCATTAGTCAGGAGGAAGGAATGTGTCCCCTATTTAGAGAACCTGGAATGCCCAGCATTTTTGCTCCAAAAGAGAGATCATACTAAAATTTAAGAGTCAAGCAGGGTAAACGCAAGAGCTGCAGCCAAACCTGTCACAGCAATTAGTGAAAGAGGGAGGCTGTCCAGAAGAAAGCAAGATTTCCTCGCTTTCCTACAGTCCTTTAAAATCCATTTGCATCCACCTGCAAATCTAAGAGATTGTAAACTAGATGAGGTGGTCCTTTCATCCCTTCATTCATGTTTATGTTGCCAGCTGCACCAAACACAGTCTGCAGTGACTGCAGACATTCCTACTTGGAAGACTTTCACCCTAAAGTGGTAGAAGAGAGCCAGGGGAAGGGGAACAGCATACACAATGGCCAGAATCACAGTACTGAAATACCATATGCACTTGAACACAAAAATATGCCAGCCATTCCCTCACCAATCAACCCGCCATTACATCCCAGTCCCATCCTGCCACCAACAGTTAGCTGAATCACAATTTTAGTGCCTGAAGGGACAATGGGAGGGGAACACTCATTGCTTCTACGCACCATCTCATCACAGTATCTCTGCAGGACCGGCATGAAAAAAAATCAAAATGCAACTTCTCATCCTCACATATCTCAAATTTCCCATTCCCTATAAGCCACGTCGACTTCTTGAAATCTGCTGCACAGCCATCCAATTTATAAATCTTAACTCCCTTGAGTCAGCAATTTTGTTTCTAGTTAACTGTCCACCATCCTCAATCGGATGCTTTCCCGGACCAACAAATCTCCTGAGCTCACAGAGGAACCTTCAAGCCTTGCCCATGTGCAGAACCCTGGGAGCTCTTCCAGCCGCATCGTGGCTGCACAGGATGCAGCAAGTGCATGACACAGCTCTGTAAAATTCTGACTCCCCAGACCCACAGTGGGGCCACAGGAAGGGCTCAGCTGACCCCTTACCTTTGACTGGCTACTTCCCTCCTGGAAAAGGTTGACTTCAATTCAAAAATATAGGAAGATACCAAAGTATGTGGTGCCAAGGGAAGAGACCACACCACAGAGTTTTTCAGGTCTGCCCCTGAAAAGCTGATTCCTGTGAAGTTCTCCTCTGCTCCTGGCCCACAAAAAAAAAAAAAGAGAGGCTATTCTGGCATCTTCTCAGTTTTAAAAGCTCTTAGCAGCTGCAGGAAAGACCTATCTTCACCTGCTCCAAAATAACACAAAAACTGACCCTCTTACTGTCACAGCAACATGAGTCACTGGAGACTCCCAGGTTTCTACGCTGCCCTTATGGCTCTAGCAGATTATTACTGACAACTTGATCCGGCACACAGAGCCCCCGTGGCAGATGCTTATCTTAAAAAATGCAAACACTTCCATGGCAGCAAAACCAGCCAGGTGGCTCTTCCTGGCCCTTCTCAGAAACACAACCTCTCCCACCTCGGCCCCCCACCCTGCTCCCAGCACTGCCATCCCCAACCACCATCCCGCAGGCTCGGGACAAACTGAGAATCATGCAGCTTGGTAAAAATGAACATTTTGCTAACGGGGAGGTGGGGGGGAGAGGGGGAAATACAGTAAAACCACGTATTCCCCTTCCTCCACATAAAAGTCACGTGCCCAGTGGGTCCCCAACCCTATGCCCAGAGCAACTCACAAAAGGTTAGTGCAGCTACACTAATTCATCTGGAAAGCATTTTCATCACCTTGTCTCTTTCCTCGCCTCTTGTGCTGTTTCAAAAATAGCTCAGGCTTGTTTGCTGCACCGCTTGTGTCAGTGCGATTTCATGCCTGGCTGGCCGGACACAGACGGGCTCGCAGCCCGGGTCTGCACACACATGCACAGTCACACAAACACAAAGCACAGCCCCCTCCCCTGGAGGCCGTGCTGGAAAGCTGCTTGTTTTCAGAGGCTTTGCACTGTATTAAGTGTGTTTACAGCAGGCCTCTAAAAGGGGCTGGAGAACAGACCACAGCCCTTTCTAGGGTTAAAAACCGAGGCAGGAAAGCAAAACAGCACCAACACTGAACTGTCTTAAAGCTGCAAGTGAAGACCTGCCTGGGATGAAAATACTTTGCAAAGTGAGTGCATTTATCAAGCAACCTGAGGTCATTTGGCTGAGTGCTGTTAGTGCTTCTGTCCATTAAAGACAAACAATCCCTCCCAAAGGCCTTGAAAACTATTATCCACCACTGCCAGGAACGGACCAGATAAAGAAGGTGCAGATGTACAGAAATTCTGGAAAGAATTACTCTTCAAAAAAACCTAAGGCACAGTCTTGAAAGGTGAGAAGCTTCTGAATGAGATTTTTCCTACTAGTGCTTTTTATATCACTGGGTTTTCCTGAACAGCTTTTCTTTTTAGAATAAATCAACTTGCTGGAGCCATTTCACAAATCCCAGATTAATTCCATTCAAATCTGGCACCCTTCCCAAACCCAGTAATCTAAGGCTCAGCCTTCAAGATCCAGCTCCTGGGCTGTGAGCTGTCTCTCTGATGTATTTTTAAATGAAACCTTCTCAGCATGCCATGACTCAGGAACATTGGTTACCATGAATTAAAGATTTCTACAAGGAAAAACGAAGCACAAAGAAATCCTGATTGCTCATTCTACGCATGTTCCGACACAGCTATAAAGTCTAATATGCATGAGGTATTTTAACACCTATTATAGAAATAAATTAGTACCTACTGACGTTTCTGTATGAAGTGCTCTCCAACTACTTATCTGCTAAAAAAACCCTCTGAAATTTAAGAGGAGAAAAGAAAACATATACCACTCCCAGCAGTCACCAGGGCATTCTATTAAAAAGATGAGCCTCTCGGGCATGGTATCTCTTGCTAGGGGTGTTTGCTTCCACATGCAATGCTGCATGTATATTCACAGGAAAGCACATACAATCAAAAGGTCACCATGCAAATTAGCAACAAACCTTAACACACAGTGTATGAAATCTAATTGTTATCTGCCACCTAAGGACCTCTTCAATTGCAACAGCAATCCAGCAAACCAGGCATGCAAAGAACTGGAACAGATTGCCCGGGGAAATTGTGGAGTCCAATCACACAGGTCTTTAATGTCAACATCAGAAATGAATGGGCAAAAGTCAGTTCTGCCTTGGGGCAGAGAATTGACATAGATGACTGCCCAAGATCCCTTTCTGTTCCTGACCTCCTTCTTATTTTTTTGCTTTTCCTGAGTCATTCCCTCTCGCATCTGCTTACTTCTGGCAATCCCTCTTAGCTTTTACTCCTGGTCAGACTCGTATCACACTTAGAAATAAGCACTGAACAAAGTATGAAAATGAAACGTGGTCTTCTTACCCATCCTCCCTGTTGAATGATATAGTCTGCAGAATAGTCTTCTAGATATGTCACCCCGAAGTTCACAAGGGCACTCAGTGGTTCCTGGCCCCGTCTGGTTAACTCCATCAGAAACTGTTGTAACAGAACCAGGGGCACCAAGACCTTCAAAAAACAAGAATTGTGAATAAATCCAGAAAGCATCAGCAATGCCACTGTAGCTAGAACAGAATTCACGTGGTCAACTGAAAAGGTCTGCGTCCAAAGATACCAGGGACTTCATTTCAGACATTTCAATACACTTCATTTCTGTGAAGACACAAGGCAGACAAGCAATACAAGGCACTAAAAAAGAAGCACTCAATTTGATATGCAAAATAACACAGCTTAACTAGAGAATTTCACAGGACAGGACTGCAGTGCTGCCTTAAGCCCCATTTTTTTCCCAAGAGAGAATTCAGGTAGAAAAGCAGAAGAGGTCCAGAACTTTCTATTCCAGAAATGGAAAGATGCAACATAGCTTGAAGGGATATGCATCCAAATTGTATTTAAGCAGAAAACTCACACAAATTCTTGAATAGATATTCTGCACTTCTCTTTAGAAGTTCATGCTTGACCTTCGGACGAGACAGAAACAAACACCTCCTCCCAGCAGCAAAACATCACAGACATGTTTAGAATGACATAAACCCTCTCCATGTCAAACTATGACAAATTTAACACACAGATTTTGCTCCCTCATTTCCCACTCCCATTCCTCTTTAGAAACCTTTTGTCTTTAATTGAATGCTCAGCCTCAAACCAAACTGCTCTGGAAGATGAAAGACTGTGAACCCACCTCCTTCATATTATACAGTTCCAGCCACCTCCTTCTGAAATTATGTTTCTGTTTGCCTAAACAACAAGCAGCTGAACTTTTAAACTCTAAATTTATTCTCCTAGAGCACCCAAGTGGCCCTCTGGGCAAAGTTTATACGCAGCACTTCGCCAAGGTCAGGAAACTGGCATGAACTGAAGTCACGAGAATCTGAAAAAGCACTTTTATGATGTGAGAGAAAAATATTTGTCAGTTTTACCACCCCTCGTTTGTGACAACTGCACCGCACATCCATTCACTGTGCAGACAGGAATGCCGTTCCCCAGCTGCACGAGGGAGATGCAGGCTTTCCTACTGCTCATACCCACCTCCTAATGCCTCCTTCCTTTTCCAGTCTCTTCCCCCTTCAGCCTGGCTTTCTTTGCTGGAAATACTATTACTATCCCTGAAATCACACCTTAGGATGCAAAGCTGGAGGGAGACGAATAGGCAAAAAAAGTAGGCTGGGTTTGTGATCTGTACTTAATCCATGATGGTGTTTCACTGAGGTGCACTACTGAAACCAGACAGGACATAAAAAATGCCTGTTACCTGATAAATTTAAGATGTTCCAGCTGACTAACAAATGTGAGAGTCCAGCACTACGGCAGACAGGTTACAGAACTGTTCTGTGATGAACAGTTAACACTGGTAACTATCAACACTTCACTAGGAATGTCATGTTGCTTGAATTTTAAAAGCGAGATGGTGTCTGATTTTTAAAAGTCTGGGGTTTTTTGAGTTTCTTGCAATTGATCTCAACTCAGAGGCAGAAGAGGTGCAAGCTCACAGTGCACAAACATAAGGAGCCAGTCAAGGTGAGATGTCAGAAGAAACTTCAATCTTTTTGGATCCAAAAAAAAAAGCCTGTTGTCAAGGGCAGGCATCTTTCAGAGGCTTTGGGCACACCCACATAACTCTACAAGAGCATGAACACTGAGATCTCAAAATATTTGACATTTACTGTAAGCTGAAGGCAAGAGAAACAAAGGCAAAAAGAGGCTCCTTGGGAGACAAAGGGAGCTCAAACACTGGCATACTGAACATGACTTGCCTTCTTCCTCTGCCAACTTCAATGCCTAATCCATCCATTCCTCCCAAATTCAGTAAGTCTGTGCAAGCCTCAGGACTGAGGGACCAAACTCAAACTCTAATACCAGTCCCACACAGACCAACAAACACCACCTGGTTTTCCCTTCCTTGTGAATGCACTGCCACTTCTACCTTTGAGACCAGGAGGAACTGGAGCAGGTTTGCACGACACTGTCCCTAAAATTCATGAAAGAAATTACCTACACAGCACTTCCATAGAGGTTAATGACAGCTTTCTGTACGTAAAAGTAGCTGTGAGAATGGTGATGAGGTTTAACTAGACCAAAGTAAAAATACAGCCTTTGAAATTCAAAGCAACGGCAATTCCCTCCACCAGGATGCCAGGGAAGGAATGCTGAGGGCTATTTATATCATGACTGAAGGAAAGCACACACAGAAAAGAGCTGGCAGGAGAAAACTTCTAGGGAATCATTAAAAAAACACTTTACTATCAGAAGATTGTGTAAATGGAAGATTTGTGTCAACGGTACCATTCCAATCCCATAGTTCAGTGTTACAAATTCAAATGTATGCCAAAAAAATTATTACAAAGAAAGTTCAGAAACTTTCAAGCAGCTGTATCTAAAATGATTGCAGCTCTGTGTACCTTTTGACTATTTCAACATGAAATTCACCTCATTCTTCATTATTTCTTACATTTTTTTGTTGTATTATTATTTGGCCCTGTTAATAGCAAGAATGGGGCACTAAGATGACTGCTAACCTACTCACCACTTCCACTGGCTCTCCATAACAGCATTTGTTATCCTTCCATACGATGCACAATAGTGGGACTATGCATTTTGGAGCATGTATATAATATTCAGTTTTAAGCAAAAAGCATAAAAACTTAGCAGTGGAGTACTTCAATTTTTTAAATTATATTTATTACAAAATATAATTTGCCCTGTTTTAGGTGGCTTTGGTTTTGTTTTATTTTAATGAGAGCCTTACTTCAAATAGAAGGTGAAGACTATTTTTCTTTACAGAATCCAACATCATGCCTATTATTTTCACACCATAATTTCTGAGAAATACACAGAAAAAATTATTTTCCTGATTTATTTTTCTGAGAGCCAGCACTTCTAGTGTCTGTGGATAAATTTTACTTCTGTGGGATGTCAGTGGAAGAACTGATCATCTTATGTATTAGCTCACCCTGCAGTATTTCCTCATTCAGATAGGTATTCATGTTTTAGTAACTGCAACCATCCCTTTACACCCCATGTGCCAGTCAATTAACCAAATCCACTCAGGAGTTCAAACATACCACTGCACTTTGGAAAATATCCGTATTTTTAAAGGGAAAAAAAAATAACAGCTATATTTTCCAAGTGTCCTCCTTCTGCTCACACTTGGATGATGAATATTCTTTGGAAGCTGGTATGACTAAACATGACACCTCCCCAATTTCAGACCATCAGCTACTGCCACAGCTCCTGTGCATCTTCAATTTCTGCTCCATCCAAGAAACTGTAGGATACAGGGAGTGCTTTGTTACTCTGTTCTGCCAGGCCAGCTAGATGTGTTTTCTTATTATTCAGTCATAAAAGGGAGGAAGCTCCAGTTCTCCCAAACATACATCCTCCAGATTTTCACAAACTGGAGGCCAGCACAGCCTCATTTTGCTGCTATGTGCCTGCTAATTAGACCTAACACTATCTCTATTTATAGCTGCTTCTTAAAATTATTTTTTTAACAGCTTCTTTACAGTGAAAATTAAGCTGGGCTGAGATGGGAGGAAAGATATCTAGATCTCTTATGTTACAAAATACAATTCTGATTAAGACGATAAAGGAATTTAGAAGGAAATGAAAGCAACATAAATGTATTCCACCTCCTCAAAACAAGTATTATTAAAGGAACTGCTGGGCATTCCTGAAGCATCAAGCTACCACGAAAACAATACAAACAGATGCTGTGCTAGTCTACAAAATTTCCATTCTGGTTTGCTTCTGGACTGTAAGTTTTGTAGCAACAAATGTCACAGGCAAGCAAAGCTGATGGCAACCACAAGGTGACGGGGACCAAAATCCACCACCCCCAGGGACTGCACGAGCGCAGCAGCAACGGAGGCTGAATCATAAATCCCCCAAAACAGCCAATCCATCTCCCCACGGTTGTATCTTCAAGAGGTGGGTTCCAAAGGCAGACTGAGAGGCACCAGGACGTCGACAAGCCCCATCCACCCCCTCCCTTGCCAGCTGAGCCACAATGACTGGTTTTATGCTGGCTTTTAGTTTTCACCAACTGAAAAGTAAAATGTGCTAGCTTAAGCCACCTTCCTGATAATCAGATTTCATGGCTGTTTAAACTAAAATGCTGTGAATCACAAGATGACAAATTGAAAGAGCACACACATAAAGCAATTATAATTGCTGGAGCCATGGGCAGTAACTTGTCATGCAATGTTTAAACAAACTGCTTTACAAGTGCCCACACCCTTGGTTAGTTTCTGAAGTAAGCAGGGAAATCTAGTCAAGGAAAAGTATTTCTGGAAAAAAAAAATATAAAGAGGGGAAAAGATTTCTTGTCCTATTTAAAATTTAAGACTAAATTTTAACGTTCAAATTGTGATTAAATTTGCAAATAGTTATTTAATTTCATTTTTTTTCTGACGCCCACTGAACCCATCAGAGAACAATTAAGGAGATGAATTTGAATGCTTAATGAAAGATGAATCTGGGAAGAGTAATTCTACTCATTCTACATTAAAAGTATTATAAAGATAGTTCATTTAGAGATTTGCATTTTGTTTTACAAAGAAGGTTCAGTTCATTTACAGATTTGCATATTGCTTTAAAAGGAAGTTTTGAATCATTTGAGACAACTCTGGAACCCAGGTAGGCACACTATGCTTACGTTTTCTGAACAATTTCAATATCATGAAGATACTGTCAATTTTCATTTTCACCATGTTCAGCACTGGTTTTTACATGTATTTTAAACCTGACATGGGAACAGAAGAACAGTAGAGAAGTATTATAAAAACATCTGTATTCATTACAAAATGGCTACGGAAATAAACATCTCTTGGGAATTTGAAAATGTTTAATGGTTATGAAAAAATAAAGTCAAGCAACATCTCTAGCTTTTCAGTTTACTATAATAGAGGAAGGTGGACCTAATACTTATGTTCTATAACTTCTGACTTTATCTGAAAACTACTCAGTATGTGCACGTTCTGAGAGTGCAATTTATTTCACACTAAAACCCAGTGGGTTCTTTCTATTCTTGGCCCTCTGCGAAGCACAGCTGTACCTCTTAAAACCATTATGGACATCAAATAGACATGAGACATATCCAAGCTAAAGTCACGTATCTGGTACCTTGTTCCACCCACTGGCATGAGCGGCTGCCTCTTGTGTGCGCTCTCGATATTCTTGATATGTCACCGGCCTGCAGAAGTTAAACCAACACTGAAAGTTATAAAAGGAAACAAAAGAACAAGAATAAAAAATAAAATTCTCAGTTGCCAGAGAACAAAACATTTTCACATGCATCTCAGCAAATAATTTTCCCGACCTAACTAATGGCATGTTTCAGTACATAAAACACCAGCACCAGCCAGCGTCAGGAAGGCATCGCCTTCTCCCAGTTACACGATTTCTTTTACCTGGTTAAGTGAATTTCGTAACAATTTGATACTCTACAACTTAAAAGACATTAGATAAGTAGGCTCTCTGATATGCTACAAAATTTCTAAGCTCTTGCATGTAATTTTTTTATAATCTAAGACTCTAAAGATAGAAAATTCCACTAAGAAATTCATAGGTGAGCTAGAGGCCAATGCAGACTAAAAATTTTATAAACAAGATGGGCTATAAACCAACACAGACTGCTTGGCTGCATTAACATTATGTTAGAGTTAGAACCTTTATTTGCAAAAAACAGCACTTTTGATCATAAAAAACCCCTTCATATTTCAGTAGATACCTCTATTCTAGATTTATCGCCTCTCTATTTCACTGAATTGGGATAATGAAATCCCACTCTTCCATATTCTTTCCTCCAAGATCATACAGCATCTGATATAGAGTCAGTGACAATAAAGGCTTTCTGACAAGTGATGCACTGCTTCAAAAGCAGCTTCCCCGAGCCAGATAATTACAAAAGGCAGGTTTAGACTTTGGTTTAAGAGAAGTAAGTTTTTAACTGGCATTGGACAAGAAAATTCCTTATTGAATCTGCCATGATCTAACAGCCTGCTGAACCCTAACACTTGTTCATATGAGAGCAGGAAATCTAAGCAAAAAAAATATGTATTGCATCAAACAGCACTAGTGTAGCAAACGTGGGTAAAAGAACACAGTTAAAGCACAGTGGGGAAAACATAATTTGGGGTTTTCATTTTAAGTGCATTCTCTTAACTTCCTTGGTATGTTAGTTCTTTACAACACAAATCCAGATCAATCAGTGGGATGAGAAGAGCAAGAACAGCTGCAGGAAGGATATTCTCAGGAGATTAAATAGTAACTCTACTTTGCCTTAGAAAAAGGCCACATAGTTTCAGGGGCATTTCAGACTTTATATGTATGCCTGTACCTACATAAAGAAAAAATAATTACATAGAATGCAAACATCTTCCCAGAGAAAACATAAGAAGCCTAAAACATCAGGTTAACAACAAGCCAGAACCACTTAATTTTCAAAGACCTCCTTTCAGGAACTTTCCAAAAAGAATCAACCTAGAGTGCACCACTTATGACCTCTCAATGTCAGTCAGTCAGCCAACTATCTATAACTTTGAAGGCACTTAAAATGCTGTTATTTCAATGTAACATTTTGGACACAGAAAAAGGACGGGCTGCATGACTTCCTGCTAATTTTCCATCTTATTGGCAGTCTGGTTTCCCAGTGTGTTAGTGAGGTATTTTTCAGAACCTCAGCTCTTCAGAAGACAGTAAGTGCAAGTTTTTAAGGCCACGTGGGACTAATGCCTGGCTTGTAAAGGCAGATTAGCTGCTGCCATTTCTAGAGGAACACACTGGCCTATCTTTTGCCTCTTAAGACAGAGTCCACTTCTCCCTTGGATGACTCATGGAAAAAGAGACAACCATGGTACCTTTGGTGTGAACTTCAGATTGGGGTCACAAAATCACAGGAAGGTTTGGGTTGGAAGGAACCTCTAAAGATCAATGGCAGGGACATCTTTCACTACGTCAGGCTGCTCAAAGCCCCATCCTACTGACTTTGAACAGTCAGTTTTAAATTATATTGGTCATAAAACGTCAACCCCTAATTGTCGATTAAGGAGCTAGTTAAGGAATATATGGGCTAATTAAGGAATCACAGAATGGCTGAAGCGGGAAGAGACCTCTGGAGGACATCCTGTCCAACCTCCTTGCTCTGTCAGGGTCTCCTACTGCACACTGCCCAGGACAGCTTCTGAGTATCTCCAAGTATGGAGACTCCACAACCCCTCTGGGCAACCTGTGCCAGTGCTCAGTCACCTTCACAGTAAAAGGGTGTTTCCTTTGTGTTGATGGAATGAATTCAAAATTTGTACCGTCTGCTTAAAGGATTACCTACATGAGGGCAGAGATGCCTCTCCAATGTATCCATGGAAGACTTAAGGCCCATGCAACAAAGTTTACACCAGGTGCTGATTTCTAGGCTTCCAATACCTTTTTGTTCTAACAGTTCACAACTGTAGCTGTTCCAACAGCTACACAAACTCTTACAAGAAGCAGCGCTGGAGATTCTCAGCCTCTTTTGAGCACATTATTTTAACCAATCCACAAAACACAGGCTCAGAGAGCTGTTTGCTAATGTTGCCTTCACAACTGCGTTTAAAATAACCATCCCTAAAGCAGCACCTTCCAACTCCAGCTCTCTACAAACACATTTTGGAGGTCACTCGGAAAAGCCTCAAGTAGTTCATGTGGATCCATTAAATCCAGGCTGGTGATTTACAAAAGAAAACCAAGCAACCACAACAATTTTACCCGTTTTCAAAAGACATTAATCAAGATACTAGCATGCCAAGTGCAATGTGCTATTTAAACAACCGGCTTAAACTGGCAGCACAGCTCTGAAGGCACCAAGGTTAGTGCTGGGGCCACATCTGCTCCAGATGTGCACCTGAGGGGTGGTCACAAAGTTTTTAACCACCATCCTTTCAGGCAAACTCTCCCACTCATCAGGAGCCGGACTACAAACCAACCCTCAGCTCCACCCTTAACTATAAGGTAAAAGAAGTTAATCTGGCTGCAGCCCAGATTCATTAAACTAATTGGCAATGGCAGTGGCAGCTGCCAGTTTCACCAGCAACTCAAACTGCCTGAATCAGCCTCAGAAGTTCAATGAAATAAGCTTAGAAAGATTTTTGGAACTTACATTATTGTAAAAGCCAAATACCACAAAGAAGTATTTGCACGTTACAACACCAAAAAACCCCCAGCCAAATAAAGGAACATTGAAAAAGAAAGAAATGCAAGATAAGATGCAGTTCCCTCTTCAGCATTTCAACAGCAGTCACACCGCAAAAGGAAACACCTTCCCTTTGGAAAAACAAATGGAAACTCACTTGCTAAGCAAGGTCTGTAGTGCTTTGTGCAGGTGTTCCTTCAACTCCTGGGACACTTTCTCCCCCAGATGAGCCAGGCAGTCTTCTATGGAGCTCTCTGGATTGGCAGGGCTGAACACTGGGGAAGTGTGGCAGTCAAATCCTGTAGTGGTAAATGCTGAGAGAGAAAAGTATACAAAATAAAATAGATTCCTAAAAGACCATCAACAGTCTCGGGTTTCTTATCCCAGCAGTTAACACAGTTTACAGGAGGGATGAAGAAATCACAGCTCTGTAGTCAAAGCATGTTATGAACAAATTGCAGTAAAACAACGTCCAAATACATTCTGAAAATGGTACTTACAAGCCAGAGATGGCTTTGAGCTACATTTCCCCTCCAGCTCTTATTTCACAACTGCATCCCAGCCAGTAACTTTGCTGAATGTGCAGCTATTCTCAATTTTAAGCTGATGCCAACCCTGATGGAGCAGCAAGGGAGCCTCTTTTCTGTGCTAGAATTTGCCCACACATGGACATCTCTGCAGCAGTACTAGAGTATCATTTTTAAAAATATTATTTTGTTCATATAACCTTTTTCTTCTCCATTTAAAACTTCAAAGAAAGCTCTCTTTGAACGAACTGAGAGTCTTTCTACCTCAGATTTCCAAATTGCCATACACATGCAAAGCAAAGATTGTTTTCAAATCATCCCTCACGGGGAATCCTATAAAAGCCACATCTACACATCAAAGCATGTCAGAATAAATAAGCCTGATGTTTAAGAAATCTGATGGCTTAAGTCCACACTCCTTGGGATATTGGCTGCTGAGGACTTCTGCCATCAGCTGCAGCAGCGTAAGGGCTGTTTACTTTTCATTATTTATAGTAGCCTATCAAATGTCATCCAGTTCTTTGCTTTGGCTGGGCTCCACCACTCCAAATGGTGGTGTTTAAGTATTTTACTTCACGTGACAACGTGTAGAAATCTTGTGGGGGGAGGAGGGTAAAGAGATTCAGTGCATTCAAAAATCTCTTTAACTGGAGTACCTGTTACAAATTAACCACCATTACAGTGCATAGAGATTACGGATTGAAACGGGAAAACCTGAAGAGCACCTTCCAAGATTTCTTCATCGAGACGTTTTAGCTCCTCCTCGATTTCTACTTTAATCTTCTCTAAAGCCTCTTTCTCCAGAGCATGTTGGGCCATAAGCTGTTGTTGAGTCCCTAGAAGAAACCAGAGAAATCATTCAAATGTTTCAATTCAACATTTCAAAATGGAACATGATACTGAAATATTAAATATTAAGGAATTCAGGGTGACAGTTCTGTATCAGTGTGACAAGTGATACAGTGACAAGTATAATTCCATAAGGGGACTTATTACATGAACCTAGGAACACATAAACTTCCAGGCCTATTCAAGACAGAACAGGTGCTTTAAATACTAAAAACAAAAAATAGAATTATAAAGTTACAAACAGAATATATAATAGCTTTGAAAACCAGCTTATCTTAAATTTAAGACCAAAACCAAACCAAGGCACACAAACAAGCTGCCATTAAACCGAATACAGTCATTATCAAACTACACCAAAACAAAGCAGACTGGCACAAGCTTGATTTTTACTAGCAAAATCAAAAATTTATGTTGACGTCTGCAAAATCTACCAAAATACTCAGAGCAAATGCGCAGTGACATCAATGAACAGTCCTGAAATCTGTGAACTGTGCATCATTTCCCTGGTCATGAGGATCTACAGGCCACACCGAAGTAACTGGAGACTGGGTTCACAAGTAAGACTAAGGGCAAAGGACTCCACAATTGTCAGCTGTTTGTCAATTCTCGTCTCCTGATTGAGAAATTTAGGAATTTGAAACGGCTGCCTATCCCCACAAGTACACATGCCGTGGTTTGGGATCATGAATATATATCCCATGTGCTGACTCCGGATATTTGGTCACAAAAAGTTGTTTCAGGCACCTCAACCATCTTAATCATTATGCTGAACCAAAACAGACACACAAAACTGTCTCCAAACAATCCAAGGTATTTATGACATTTGAATCTTTAAGCAACTGCCCGCTGAATGTCAGCCTTTCAATATAAGACGTAATGGCAAGGTAACTACTCAAGTATCTTTTGTGGGACAGGTACTAATGCAAAGATCAGATGTCTGGGACAGAGCTCTTGCTATTTAGCTGCATTTTCTTTGGGTTTGCTCATCTTTATTTCTTCCATCAGCTTTCAAGCACCTCTTCAAATCCCATTTTTAAGGTACACACAAGAACTGTTCCATTAACTGCTCTCTTATTTTCTCCAAACTTCACTGAACCAACAGCCCATCACTGACATTTTCTTCTTCTTTTCATTTCATTCCTTAAAATGTCCTAGTTAAGAGATAAAATGGGTCTCTGTTATATCTAAAGGAATATCAAAGTGAATTTTGTATCAACTTACTCTTGAAATAAATAAATAAACAAATGAAATTGTCAACAAAACTTTCCTTTGCTTAGTAACCCCCCTTCCAGCCATTTCCTTCCCTAAGTTTTGGGTCAGTTATCAGTCCTCATTAGCCCTGCACTCTGTTACTTTTAACAGTATCAGTGACTGGGTTACCCAAAACACACTTTCTTAGCTCTCTTACTTCTGAATGTTCCTCAGAATTCTTTTTTTGTGGACTTTATGTTCTCTCACACCCCTGATTTAAATACCACCTCCTGGCTGAGCTTCTGATAATGTTCCTCATGTCTAATCCCTGACAATCACCCTTTCTGCACCTACACCAACTGCTACAGCTTTCATATCCAAATCTTCAGGTAAGTCCTGTAACAGTCAGTGTGGCTTCCTGGCACACCCTTCTTCATTCCTGTTTTGAAGACACTAAATCATAATTTGGTGGTCTTATGAACGACTGTTTTATGGCCCGTTTTCTTTGGTCTGTCTCTGTTTAAATTTTCTGGCACTCTCCTTAAGTGTTAATTGCTGTCCCTTTCCACAATGGACACATAATATCACTAATTTTCACACCAGAGTGTGTGAAAACCCTAAAAGCAGTTAACACACAAGCCACTGAATGTGTGTTAATGCTCACAGATTATCTGTGAGACAAAACCTTTCTAAACCAATGTGTGTTTAAGTCAGTGCACAATGTTTTTATTTATTTATGTGACCAGTCCAAAAGAACAAAGCACAGTCAGTTTAATTCCATTTTACTTAACCACACATGTGCAGAATAACTTTATTTAGCTTCTTAAATCCCTTCCCAAGCAGTCTCTCTTTGCCACTCCGAACCATAAATTCCTGAGAGGAGCAAACTGTTCCTCCTTTTGGTTATTGCCTTGTCAGTCCCTTCCAGTCGCCTCTTTGAGTCAAGTGCAACAAGTAGGTGCAAGTGCAAACTCCTCCTTGAACCTGCGCCTGCCCCTGTGCGTGGAAGGGACGAGGGTGTTCAGGAGAGTGCTGTTCCCACGGGACTGATGTGATGGTGATGGCACATGACAAGCTGTCATACTGGATAAGAAGTCACCCGGAAAGTGGAAGGAAGAGAAATTCCATTGCTGCCAGGGTACAAAAGAGCTGTTTAGATAATCAGCGCTGCAGTCCATGGTTTCCATCTCGTAACACCCACAGCTTTGCAGCAGCTGCTGATTCTGAGAGCACCTGACTGTTCAGTCATGCCAAAACATCAAAACCCTACCCCTCCCACACCAGTGACTTTGCACTGTTTATTCCCTCGATTATGAATGGACTTCAGGTTTCCACAGCTCCTGTACCACCAAAAATTGCACACGGTGTTGGAGAGCAGCACGTTCCAACAGCAAAGGTCCTAAGTGAGGGTACCTTTTTCTCCTTCAGACAACTTCCAAGTCTGCTTGCAAACAGATAGAATAAAACAGTAACAACAGTTTGTAGGAGATGAGAACGTATGTTCATCATTTAATGATGCAAATGGTCACTCCCTGTGGCTTGTAAGAGACACAAACACCCAGTGCTTTCCTGTGCTCAAGAAATGGCTTTGCCTCTTGTGAGCTTTGGATAAACCAGCCCTTCAAGGCTACTTCCCAACCCAGAGGCTCAACAAACCTCTGTTACACGGTCTTACACAACCAGCTTAGTGCATTCTACTTTATGTAATAAATGTTCCCCTTTGCACAACTATGTTCTTGTTAAGATTTTGGCTTTCAGGTACTTGGAGGTAACACAAAAAGTAGAGGAAACTGTGTTTTAGAAGTCCATCAAGCGCTGCATCACTGCCCATCAGACTATTAAATAAATGTAATATTTCAGTAAAACTCCACCGGTGAGGCCATTCCAGAAGTTTGGTAACAATGCAAGACTAACCCGTTCCCCAGGTTTGATCCCAGGAGGAGGAGGGGTGGGAAGTCATTCCTCAGAGCTGGAGAGTCTGCACATCTGAGCCTACAGTGCTTGTGGTAAATACTGCACCTAACAAGGGACAGCAGCAACTACAAGGGGAGATCTCTTTACAAACATATCAATCCTTTAATGAAAGGGTTCAGCTTATAAAAAAACTAAAATAGCCTAAAATATTAAGAACCAAAAAGAGACAAGACATTGCCAACTAGCAGGGGGGTTACAGCACTTCATACAGTGATTCCAAAATAGATAATAAATGGTTAAAAGAACATAATAATTGGATTGAAGTACTGTGGATAGCAGGCACCTCAGGGAAACTGAAAAACTGTCAAAACCTTGTTCACCTCTTGACTAATCTATGTCACCATGCAGTTGTGGCACTGATTATCAATCTTCCAGATGCTCTGTGTGTTAAAGGGATTAATCAAGATTTCGCATTCTGTCAAGAAAAGCACAGAAAAACTACTGTCCTTCACAACCTCTGTTATACCCACAGGCTCTTGGGATGGTGTCAAAACATGGGAAAGTACATTAAAAAAGAGGAATACACTAAAAGTCCCTCCTTGATGAAACACAAAGCAGTATTTATAATACAAATTCACTGAACCACAAAAACAAAGTACTTTGACTCACTTAAAAACCAAGTAGTACAAACAACTTCAGCAGATGGAAGCTTCTATAATGAGTGTAACTTCGGGGGGGGAAATGTAGAGATGTTTTCCAATACTTGATATTTCTTTTCTGTGTATGAACCAGTAGTTACAGGTATGACAAAGAGTTCTGCAAAAATACTAAAGCATCTCCCCACAACCTAATGAACAGATAACTGAGAGCTTCCACACCTTTTAAATGCATGTGCTCACTTGTTGCCTCAAACCACACAAACTTACACAGGTGACATCTTACTCTGTGTGTTTTATCAATTTATTTGAGCAACTGGTACTATCCGTCTACCTGAAAACCTACCAAAAAGTAACAGAATTTATTGCTAATGGACTTTGTTTTTAATAAACTGAAGAGGCTATTATGCAGAATCACTATTCTGCCAAAACTAACAGGAAAAAAATCCCTCAAACATTCCCCAGTTAAATTTGCTGGATTTTCTTCTGGAGGCACTGAAATCCATCGAAGAGAACTATAGAGCTGTAATGTTAAAAGTTTGGGTTGTCCAATAAAACCATCTTTTCTTCAAGAGTCTGGAATACCACAGATGGTTCTCTCTTCAGTCCCTGCACTGAAGAGATCTAAATAAAAATTTGGAAGTACTAATCAGGTGTTGACTTAGATTGGCCTTGTTCTCTTGAAGCTGAAAGTGATTTCAGTGCTGGTAATTGAGGCCATCTTTTTTGCAGCAAAATCAAGACCAACCAAGAGATCCAAAGGGAAACACGGGAGGTAATTTTCTGTGTAATTTGTCTGAATTTTCCATTCACTAAACAAAAACTCTCTGAAAACCATCAGTCTTGCAAAACATATCACGTCGGCAAAAAAATGAGAAGTTTTAACTTGAAACCTACCAAGCAACCTAAAGATTTAATCTTACCTGAGTTTTTGGAACAAAAAGTCATACATCAGAAAAAGAACTCTTTAGCAAGAAATGCAGGAAGGCAGAGGTTTGTGGCAGGTGATGGGAGGAGGAAAGGAAGGGGCAAAAGCATTTAATCTCTCCTATGAGTTCTGGCAGCGATAAACTTCCAACTCCTATTGACTAATTTTTTGGCCCATCAGACACACTCTTTGGTTTAACTGGACTGTTGAAACTTTGCTGAAATCAGGGAAACTGCTGTATAAGGAGACTCAAGAGCGGTAGAGAAATACTAACAACAACTTAAAAGTAAGTGTGGATTATTTCCTTATTTCCCACGTTCTGTACACATGCAATGGAAAGGCAGAAGATCCTGCAGCAGGTGACACAAGAAGGCTGTAATTAGGATCCTGCGTTGAACTGCCCTCTAGAGGAGTCCCTCACTCTCCCACACTGAGGGAGGCCAAAGAGGGTAAAACTACGAGGGCAAAGTAAAACTAGTCTTTCTGGACACTCCCATCATATTGTAACGTGGTTCAGAAAACAGAGCAAAAGTAAGGGCTCATTTGGATTTAAAAAGAATACACAAAGGAAAGTACCATAAACCAGAGTCAATGTCTCATTGAAACATGAAATAGAGAAGTGTTCTGCACCTGAGAAGGAAACAGGCCATAACCCAAATCACTGCTTCATTTTTTCCCATGACAGGTCTGACAGCACAGGAACCAAATTAAAGCAAAGTAAGATTAATCAACAGGTGCTTTTTACTGAAATCCTCTCAGTTCACAATTCAACCATGCAGAATAGAGAGACAACTAAGCAATGTTTTGAAGTGCCACAGAAATCAACAACAGGAGGAAGTTGGGATCATCAGACTGATGATGGTGCTTGAAAAACACACTGGCAAGCACGATGTAACGTCAAGCTGTTATCACCCTCCTGTGTCTTAGTTACCAAAACCCAGAAGTTTCCTCCTCATGACGGGATTTTAGACAACTGTCCATTTTCATTTACTGGCTCTCACGTTTCTCTTGCTCTTACCAGGTTCTCAGACCAGGCTGTAACACCCATCTGTGTCCCAGCAGTGCATTAGCAGGGCAGGAAATATCCATTATGGGTATTACTGCCCTCCTAGGGGAGGACACAGAGCACATGGAGCAGAGTACAGCAAGGAGGCATCAGCCACGTGCCAGACAACAAGGAGAAACAGACTGTATACAAACTGCTCAGCAGTCAGAGAAGATGGATACAGCACTTTTAGATAACCACAAGGCTGCTGCCACACGTACCCTGAGAGTGCAGTGAAACACTCTTTGTTTACAAGCAAGGAGAGAATAAGTAGGAGAAAGGATTTTTAAAGAGTAGGTGTCAGACAAATGAAAGCTGTTGGGTCATGGAAAGCAAAAAAGCACCAGGAAAAGTGACTTAGGACAGAATGAAACAAATCCTGACTTGGTTCAACACAGCCTGAAGTCCATCCAAGGCTTTACAAAACAGAGTGAGAAACAAGATGGCAAGTTAAAAGTAAGAGGAAATTATTTTATGCAGAGGCTTTGATCAGAAAGCAGTAAAAACACTGAAAGAGAGATCAAATTACAGTGAAAGATGACCAGGAGAGGAGACTTTGTGGGTGCTGTTTGGCATTGGGAATGAGGTGGGAAAATGTAGGAAGACTTCCTGTTTAAAAGGGAAGGTTTAAAGCAACAGGGATGAAAGAACAGTATCAATGATTGAGAGTATTTTATTAGCAAATCCAGCTGCAGGCTGCTGTCAGACAAGCTAACATATCTAAAGAATATCTGAAATATGGACTCAATTGTTATCTGCACTCAGGAGCTCTTACCTGAATACAAAATTTTTATTTAAGCATTTGTAGCTTCCTCTTTGGAAGGCTTTAATATTGCTCTTCAATTCAAATTAGAAGCTTAGAGGTTTCAGTAATGAGAATCAGTTTGAAGGGTTTCCCCTCAGCTTGCAAATATTTCAAAAGCTAACTACAGCGAAATTGTTTTTAAAAAGCTTTAAGACTAACAGTTTCCTTTCTGAATCTTGCATTTATAAGAACAAAGCAGACTCTTACACACTGAACCGTTACATGTACTCGATACATTTCCAGTTACAGCCCAGTTATAACTGGATGGGATATTCAGAATGAGACGTTATTGCTTAAACGTTGAAAAATTCCACATTTTTCAACAAGGGGTTTTATGAAACACCATCTTGGCACTAAGGTGCCTCTCCTTTCATGGACCACAGATCAAAGTGGAAGTAGCAGACATATCTTAAATATACTAAGATTAATTTTATGAATTAAATACACTAAAGTTAATTTTATGAATTATATATAATATAACCAGCATATCCTATAGGCTTTAGTGCCGAACTGAAAATCATTTCTGTCATAATATGATGCAATCTTTTTTTTCCAGGAATTTCTCATTTCATGACAGTTAAGTTCAATAAATGACACAGCAGGCATTCTTAAATGCTTGTTCAAAAAGAAATATTTTAAAGACTGTCTTTGTGTGGTTCAGGTATTTTTAATTCTTCTTTAATCAGAATAATCACTACTAATAAGTGAAACATCATTAAGAAGTGGCAAGTCACCCGAGCAATCTTGACAAACAACATTGTTTAAGTGCTTGACACCACAAAATAGAGAAAAGCTTTACTCCCCAGGCTTATGTGAAACACAAACTTTTTTTATTTTGCCTTCAATTTATTTATTTAACCTCTTTTGGTTAAATGTGTAACGCTTGGTTCTGGAAGAACCATCTGACTCCATGCAGTCCTTGACTTCTTATAAGTAAATAAATAAATAAATAGGTGCAGGATAGGCCACGTCTCAGCACTACCCCTGACTGACAACAACAGAAGCCTCAATGTAATAGGGCAAAACTATTTAGCACAGATTGCTCAAGCCACCGCTCAGCTGGTAAACACCACCTCGCCCCTGCCATCTTCTACTTGTGTCCCCAAAAAAGCAAGCATGGGCTCCAATTCAATGAAGGCAATATATATCCACCCCTCCTGGCCTGAAGGCAGCTGCTAAAACCACCTACTTGCTTCATAAACACCAGTCGGCCCTGAGGTAGCTCAGATTAAAACCAGTCATCTACATACAAACAGCTTTGTTTCCATCAACATCTCTTGTCTTTCAACCGAAATTTATTCCGTTTTCAGGGAATAAAACGAGGGCTGCATCCCACCAAACATCAGGCTCACGCTCCACCGACAGCCCAAGAGCTAACTGCAAGCAGAGCTGCCCGCGTAAATGGCACAGATGAAAATGCAGATGTTTACCTTGAGCTGGAGGAGGAGGAGGATGCTCCTGCGGCTTCTCCTGTGCCAAGAGCCCCAGGTAGCTGAGCACTACGTACTTGGTTTCATAGTGGAATCCTACAGGCACGGCAGTAGCGGACGCCATCGGGTTGGCGGGCAGGCGGCAGTGTCCTTGTGGGGCACGGCGGGAGCGCTCCGGGGAGCCCAGGGAGACTGTGAGGAAAGAGCAAAGGGTTTTCTTTGGTTGGTTCGTGAACTCATACATAACCAGGAATTATGTAACAATCCGGAAGCAGTATCCAGGTTTTTGCCCTGATATCCTATGCATTCTTATTTTAATAAGAACCATGCAGAGCAAACCCAAGGGTGCCCCAGCCCAAGCTCCCTGCCAGCAGTGGCACTTGTCCCTCCTGCCTGGTACACAACTCTCACCTGAAAGCAAATGGAACAGTCCCTCACCACACATCCTCCTCCCAGCGCCTCAACCACATAAAGAGGCCTTGGCAGATTCTGAAGCCCTACTTAACTACAGTGTGAGGTAAAAAGACAGGTTGCAAGGAATCTCTCTTCCCCTAAGCCTGCTATGGATATTTCCCCAGTTCTCTGCCTTCTCAGGTTCACTGTTATGATGCTTAAAAGTCGTAATGCAGAAAAAGTGACCACAATTGCCTTGAATTCATTTTACTGCTCCAACAGCAACAGAAAACATATGGTCAACAGAGAAAATTCCACATTATTGTAGGGACTGGGAGAACAGATGGTTGTGTGTCCTGGATTTCTCACCCAGACATTAGTAAGTATAAACCAGAAAGCCACACCTAACAGCAACATCTGACCAAGAACCTCCTGTTTTACTCTCCTTTTTTGTTGTTTTTTTTCAAATATCCAAATAAGAAAGCAGGAAACACTACAGTGGAGAGAAATTAAAAACAGTCAGAAAGGACAAGGTAAAAAATAAAACCTCAGAAAACAAGATGAAGTGGAAAAAGGAGCCAAGCAACAGGTTGAAAGGATGTTTCAGATTAATCAACATGTTTTAGCTCTTTTTATTAAGTGAAGTCTGGATAACTACTTCCAACGTGCTATCAACTTGATGAATCAAACAGTAATTTTTAGTGTTTTATGATAAACTCTCAAAATTAAGTTCTCCACGACTTCAAAGAGTCATTTTCAAACAAGCAGTAGCCCATTCTTGGCCATCAGAATGAAAGTCCAAACGAAAGACGTGCAAAAATTTTCATACTACTGAAGAGACACTGAAAGAGCCGGACAATTCAAACAGTGTGAGCCTGCAGTTGCATTTAGAAGAAAAATTTAAATCAAGTTTAAAGTTGAAAGCAGTCAGAATGAGCAAAACGCTATATAAAGGGAACAGAAGTTGGACCATCTCAAGAGAGTCCTCGATTACGCTGGAAATGCCTTGAGACTAAGAGGGAGAACCAGGTTCCAAACCCAAAGCACAATCTGCAAATGATGCCTCGAGATTAAAAACAATAATAATAAACTGAGCAAGCAAAAGAAAAGCACTGGCCTGTCTAGCTACTCAAGATGTCTGGGCTAACTTCTAATCCCCCCTCCCTGAAGAGGAATTGGGATTATCAGCAATTGTACAGTGGTTACTGAGGATAAACAGAACTAGAACTGTGCTGTGGCATGGTTGCTGTGTGAGTAGGTAGCTTGGCAAAGAAAAATTTACCCATCAAACTAAAAGCTGCAAAAGGAAAAGAATTGGTGTAAAACTGGCTGTGTTCTTTCTTTAATCTTTAGAAACTCTAGTTTCTGAAACTCATTCAGTATTGAAAACAGAAAAGGACTCTTTCATAAAGACTATGGCAGCCCTGCCTCTTGCACCATGCCTTTGAAAATGCCTGAAAGCTTTTACCAGAAAGCTTCAGTTGTGTCTTTGCTGCAGTTTGAACCAAAGTAATTCTTCGTTTATGAAGCAAACAATGTTGAAACTTTAAGTCAACCCTCATCCCTTTCTCCTTGGAGCACTAATCCTACATTAATGTTGCCTCTTCCTTCCCAGAATGCTCTATGGGAACCATATCCTGCTTCAGAAAGGTAAGAAATCACAGCAGAGACAAAGCACAGCTTTTGCAAAATGCACAGTTATCCTTCAGCCACTTCCATAAATGGAGACTTTCATAAAAATAAGGAGATTTGGGAAAAAAATAACTGCTCTGAGGACTTTAGGATCCTTTAACAACAGATCTTCTCTTCAGACCAGATCCCCGTGCACAACCACCACATCACCAGGTGGGAAAGACGCCATCCACCAAAAAGCCAAAGCTCCTCAGCGCGTTTCAGTTCTGGTTTGTTCCGCACAGATCCACAGCCCTGGAATCAACGTGCTTCCCGCAATGCCTACAGAGTGCATGGCAGCCCTTCCAGACAACCTGAACTGATCTCTCCTGAAAGAATCAGCCTGACAGATGGTCCAGACACATCCAGAAACTACGCTGCAGATCAAAGAACAAATTTGGATGTACAACAAAGATTGTTTTTCAAGATATAATTCCATATCAGCGCAGAAAATGACAGAAAAAAAGTTGATGAAAACAAGCAGGAGATTCCAGAGCAGCACAGTGATCCATGTGCAGCAGGGAGGCCTACTTCACAAAAAGTTCAGCTTGCTTAGCTCAGCATCTCTGGAGGGAGGAGGGAAACAAAAGCAGAGAAGAGAAAGAGAGAATCAGACCACAGTGTATTTAAATAGTGGCTAAGGTTTCCCTGGGAAAAGAATGACAAAAACCAGCTTTGGATGAAAAAAATAATCCCTCTCGTCGATATACTTATACTGAGATGAGAAGGGAGGCTTAGGAACTTGAATGGGAGAAATCTTCAGCTTCACACAAAAGAATGCTGTAAGTGGAAATGTACTTCAGCATCCCTGGTTCTCCCTTGAGACAAGCCCACAGCACAGCAACTGAATTACTCACTTTGAATTGTGAATTCCTGGTTCTGTTTACAAAAAGAAATACAGAAATATTGACTCAGATACCGTAAATATCTCAGAAAAGGCCATTTTACAGGAATGAGTGGGATTGAAAAAGGACACACAGCTTGAGAGACCAGATCAGAGGAAGGAGAGCTTTCCACTAAAGGAGCAAAATGGAAGAGAGTCCAGATACACTTTAAGATAATAAGCTTGAACAGGAGATGCAACAGAGCAGAGGAAATAAGGTATTACACAGACTCCATAAGTCTCAGAGCAAGAGCTACAGGGTTACTTCTGGTTTAACAGGTTCACTGCAGGAATATTGCCCTGATCAAAATTATTGCCAATTGTTCCCTACAAAAAAATTCACCTTTCTCAGTTCCTGCAGCCTTGGGGGAACAGAAGGCTATACCTGCTGAAGCTTACTGAGCTTGTTACTCCTCCAGCCCTGCTGTCACTTGTTCCATGTGGGCTGAGCTGCTCAACCGACCTGAGAACAGGAGTTCCAGCCAGACTGACATTTCTTCATGCAATCTGTCACGTCCTAATCCACAGAAGAGTTATACATTGGATAACGGGCAAAGCAAGGCTACCAATGAATACAGCGAATATAATCCCCCAGTGATGAGGCTCTGCTGTGTTTCAGTCCCTGAAATATCTGCAAAAGGCCACTGTGCATCGAGCTTTCACTGTGCATCATTCAACCCCCAAAACGCACCACAACACTGCCCATGGGAACAGTTCAGCACTGCTACGGATCTGTCATGCATCTACTCAGCTGCTGCTGGTCTGAGACTTGCCCTTCTGCAGCCTCACAAAGTATTTTGCTGCGTGCTTATAAACAAAATAGTAGGTGATCACTGTCACTGTGCATTTCAGAAACAGCAACACTATCACAGACTGCCTTCTTGTTACAAACAGCAGCACCACCGCCCTTCGCTCCCACTGGAACACAGGATCAGTCTGGAGCTGGATGCATTTCCCACCTACAGCCCAGGTCACCAGGCCTCCCTTACCGGCTACAAACCAAATCACCCCAGACAGCTCTGGCAGAACACCTCCTGTGCTGCAGAATTATTTCAGAGCGTGAATGGCCTCAGCCAGAAGCAGTCACTCAAGCATGGACAGGCAATTTAGAGCGGTAACAAAACGGAGTTCAAATCATTTTCAGGGCAGCTTTACACCGGTATGCTCATGGTTTGGGTCATCCTCCTGATAGCAGTCTCTGCAACAGGCAACCCCTGTAAGTTCAGCTGCATCTGCAGCCTTAGGTTTACACCGTGCTCTTTACCAAAATGTACCGAAATTCAAGGAGTTGAAAAACCACACCCCGTATCAACAAGATGGAAAATATGCAAGTGCTCTGCAGCCTTACCAGAATGCTCCTGTAGGGATTTTGGATGAGACCTGCATGTGTGGACTAGTTCAACCATGCAGCAGTTTGCCTCTGAACACATTTCATGTAACAGGCAGGACTATCTAAGGCACTTGATCGTGATCAAATTGGGAGATAAAAATTCTTCAGAGTACTTTTCCAACAGTGTATGAGAGCATGACTAAGAGATTGTTTTTAATAAACTGAGAGTTCAAACATGTCAGTTCCTACTGGAAATGAATCGATATTGCATCCAGTGCTGATCCTCTGGTGGCACTTAATGGATAGAAATCCTGGAAAATACTATGGTCGTTTATCTGGGCAGTGGTTGTAGTCGACCTTACTGGGAAATATAATTACAGTATTCTAGGCAAATGGTGTGACTTCTCTTCTAAGAAGAGAAATAAAAAACTGTGTGAGTTACCCACTACAAAGGTCCTCGATCCTATCCAGCTTCAAACCACCTCACCTCAACATCAAACCGTGACAAACCTAGCTTTCACTAACAACCTTCCATTCACTTTCTGCCTGAACGTGCCTACTCGGATTTGAGAGCCCAGCAAAAACTCAGTTCCAAGTTTTCAGCAGCGCCAGAGCAGCGTGTGCCCCTCAGTTACTACGGCGATGAATGAGATATTTATACCCAGGCGGGCGGGCTCGGAGCCGCGATGAGTCACCGGCGGGGCCGTGCGGGACGCGCAGCCCGCGGCCCCTGCGGCGGGGGAGCCGCCGGCTCTGCTCCTCCGCCCCGGAGCTGCCGGCGGGGATCGGGGGGCTCCGGAGGGGCTCCCGCCGTGCCCGGGGGTGTTCCCGGTGGGATCGGGGGCCCCGGCGGGGGCGGGAGCGGCACCGCCCGCCAGGGGGCGCCTCCGTCGCCGGCGCGCGCCCCCCGCGGCTGGGGGGGGGGAAAGGGGGGGAAGGTCCGTGCGCGCGCCCGGCTCTAACCACCCCCCCCTCCTCCCCTCAGCCCCTCACGGGGCGGGGGCGCGCGCGGTGCCGCCGGTGCCCGCTCCCCCCACCCCCAAATACATAAATAAATAAATAAATGTAAATAAATAAATAAATAAATGTAAATAAATAAACAAATAGGCAGCGAGCCCGCCTGCTCCCACACCCCCCGTTCCTCACCTGCGGGCGCCGCGGGGAGGAGCAGGAGGAGGCGCGGCGGAGGTCGCTCCCGCCGGGGGCGGTGTGTGGTGTGTGTGGTGTGTGTGCCCGTGTGGGGTGAGGTGGGGAAGGGGGGGAGCGCGCGCGCGCGCTCGGCCGGTGCGCGCGGGCTCTGCCCTAATTTGCCGCCGCCGCCGCCATGATGGAGGGGGCGGGGGGGGTATGGAGGGGGGAGGAGCGCGCGCGGGGCGCGGCGCGGCGCGTGCCGCGCGTCACGGCTCGCGCCGCGTCACGGCAGGGCCCCGCCCCCGTCACGTGACTGCAGGTGGGGGGAGCGAACGGCGCTTGGAATCCCATGGACACCGGGAAAAAAGGTGGGTTTGGGAGATTCCTGCCGACCACTCCGCCTTTTACCCGCGGGTTCGGGGCAAAACGACCTTCTGGCGCTTCAAGTTTCGCGGCCCCCGACCACGTGGGCGCGTCAACCCCCTAAACACCCCACCCTACCCCTCCCTTCCGCACGGATAGGGGAGCCACAGGGAAAACAAACCGAGTCTGAACGTGGTTCACACGTATTATAATATCATTTAGATGGTGCCCGAAGTAATACGAAGTGTTCTCAAGGCCCCAAAGTACAGGTTGATTTTCCCGCACTATAATTGCCATGTGAAAAAAACCACCGAAATTACCGTAGTTTTATAATCTTGGGGTTTTTTTTTCACGTAGAAAAGCGCGGTAAAAATTAGGGAAATAGGAATAAATCGGGAAGAAGCACGGATCTGACAAATGCCGCGTTTGACACTTGATTCGCAAGGAGAGGTTCTATTTTTTCCAGTGCATGTACCTGCAGAACGGAAACAGAAGCTTCCTGCCAAGCAGAACAAACAAACACTATTACAGGTTACGAGGATCGCCTTAAATTTTGCCAGGAAGAAAAGAATGGCAGCAGCAACAGAAGAATTCTGAAGAATTACCACATCACAGAATGTAATATTAAATAAATAAATAATGAATAAATAAATAAATAAATAACGCCTCCCCGCTGCTGCAAGGCCGTCCTTCCCCTCCTCTTGTCCACCTATTCCCTGCATCCTTTCGCTTTTATTCCATGAAATCACAGAATGCCCTGTGCCCGGGTCTGGGCTTCTTAGTCACTACGGGACAAGGAGCTGCCGGAGAGGGTCCGGGGACGGTCACAGAGACGACGAGGGGTCTGGAGCATCTCTCTTATGAGGAGAGACTGCGGGAGTTGGGCATGCTTAGCCTGGGGAAGGCTGAGAGGGAGTCCCATAAGCGCATATAAATTTATTTAGTCCAGAAAAGAGAAGAAGGAGAGCGGATCTCATCAATGTCCATAACCACTCTCACGCAGGGGGCGGTGCCGGGCAATGTCTCGCGGTGCCCAGCGCCGGGGCGTGACGTCACGAGGCGCGCGGCTCGCTATTGGCCCGCGGGAGGGAGGTGGGCGGGGCTCGCGGGTCGCCTGACCCGACCCGGCTGTGATTCCGCTGCGGGCACCGACGGCGCTGGGAGCGACATCGGGCACCGCCACCGCCACTGTCACCGCCACTGTCACCGCCACAGACACCGCCACTGCACAGACACCGCCGCCATGGCGCTCAGCGATGCCGACGTGCAGAAGCAGGTAGGCCCTCAGCCGCGGGGAGCGCGGGCAGGGGCGGCCCCGGCGGCTGGTTGGGCCTTTGGGGCGGGGGGGGTGTGAAATCGCGTCCCCTGCGCTGCTGGGGGGGTAACCAGGCGCTCCCCCGGGAAAGGAGGAAGGGAGGGGGAAGCCTCTGAACGAACTGGGGTTTTCCGTGAAGCGTTTTGGTGACGTTCTGTGCTGGGTTATAAGCCAGGTGTTTGCTGAGTGCAGGGTTTAACCGCACTTCAAGGCGTATCGATACACGCCCCTAGACAAGTACCGGGTTTTTGGATGCGGTAGATGCTTAGAGGCCGGGGCCGGTCTCTTCTGCAGTGAGAGGCCTTAAGATGAGACAGGGGAGATTCAGATTGGATATTAGAAGAAAAAAATTTTTGCTCTTAGGGTGGTCAGGCGTTGGAATAGGTTACCCAGGGAGGTGGTGGAGTCACCGTCCCTGGAGGTGCTCAAGAGGCATCTGGGTAATACAGTTTAATGGTTTAGGGGTTACAGGGGTAGTCCTGGGTTCATGGTTGGGCTGAATGATCTTAAAAGTCTCTTCCAGCCATGATTCCATGAGTCTCTAAGGGCTTTCCATCCCTTTTTTGCTTACAACTGTAATCTATCCACTTGGCTGTACCTTACCTTTGGGTGGGATGTTTGGTGTTCTGGGATGCCATTTTCACATCTAAGCAGAGTGGTGCAGCCTGGCCTTGGCTTGCAGTGGAAACTTACAGCCCTGCAGTAAGTCTGACTGCAGACACCTTCTCCCGGGGCAGGACAGCCTGTCCCTGTTGACAGTAAACACTGCCCCTGCCTAAAAAAGCTGCTTTCAGCTGGGCTGGAAATGGTGTGCCATGCTAAAGGCTGCACGGATCCAGTCAGGGCTGGGCTGGGGAGCTTCCTGCAGGTGATGAGCAGATCAGGCAAGTTGCCTTTGTCCTTTGCATCACAAGTACTTCATGTCTCACATTCTCATTCAGTAAACATAGACTCTTGGCAAGGAAGCATCGCATTGAAAGTAAAATCAGTGGGCTGCCTTCCTCCAAAAGGAGAGCTGTAACATTATATTTTATCCACAAAGCTTGTTTGTTTTTTCCTGCCTCTTCTGTGAAGACAATAAAAATAAATCTGGATTTGGGGGTGTTCTTGCTCTCAACACAATGGTCCTGAACTTCAAAGGTTAGTTCAGGCTCTGGTGATGTGCTACACATGACATTCTAATAGCATTTCACATCTGCAGCTTTCCTGTCAGTGCTCTACACTCCCGAGCCCTGGATGATCCTGTTAACTGGAGAGGGGAATGCTGATGATATGGCAGTCCTGGATGTGCATAACTCTGGCAAGAACTTGCCAACTGGCTCTCTTACCTACTCGCCATGGCGCTTTCAATAATTTTCACTTTGAAAATCGTCTCTAATTGTGGATTTTTTCCATTGATGGATTTGTTCGCTCTACTCTGTCAAAGGTGTTTAATAGATTGTTCCATCTAGTTACTTCTAGCTACAACCAGTCTAACACCTAGGACTTCCTATGGAAAGGATAATCACAATACTACTGATAGGCAAACCCTCCCTTTCTGTAGGAAATAATACTTTAAAATTAACCTCTCATTTCAAAATACATTTTTTGTTAGTGTTATTAAAACTAATCCCATTTTTACATGTGAAAGTCTCACTGTGGATCTCTTTTTGTGTCTATGAAAAGCAAAAAGGGGTTTCAGTACAGCAGCATTTGGAGGAAGTAACACTGTTCAGTCTTACCAGACTAGGGGAAGTGAGTTCCATATTCCCTTACTTCCATCTTGTTCCTTTTCTTTACGCAGAGGGTGTTTCTTGAACACCCAGAATTGTTAGAAGTACTTTTCCAAAATTCAGAAGCCAAACCACACTGGGGAAGTGACTCAGTAATGTGAGGGTTGCTGCTGTTATACAAAAGTTCTTAGTCTTCTTCAACAGTAGGCTATTCAGCAAAATGATTTCCTCACTTCGTGTGCCTCTCTTGTCCTTTCTGAAGTGCAGGGTAGAAAACTGATGCTGTAGGTAGACACACACTTGAAAGTGTTGCAAACTGGAATTAGAAGAAAAATTGCTGGTTTGATTTGAGGATGTGGATATTACTGCTCACTTCTTCCACTGCCGGTGTTTAAAATCTTCCGCTTGTTGGTTCACTTCTGTTTTCTCCTCTCTGTGGGCATAGTGCTGTTGCACGTTGGCTCGGTGCTCAACTTGGCACCTTCCTAATCTCTTTAAAATATATGATTTTAACATGAGATTCTGTAAGTAGAGTCTTTCGTGTGAGTTTACTTAGACTGGATTGTCTGCAAAAATGTGTCTCGGCACTAAGTTGCAAGCAAAAAGCTGGTAGGATTTTGTGGTCTGCTCCTCCTGGCCCTGGAAATGGATGTACCCCTTCCCAGCTGCAGTTTGTTTGGTCATGAGTCCTTGTGGTTTGCCCCACAGCAGGATCCTAACGTCAGGCCTGGTCACAGAAAGGCATGTGATAGATAAGAAGAGCTCAGTGTGATTGCTTTCCTTGTCTTTAAGAAGCTGGGCCTGTGCTCTGTAGTGTTTTGAGGTGGCTTCAGAAATGTTCTACAAGTGGAATATGTTGGTGCACACCAGGCTCTGAAGCAGCGTGTGATATACTTGACGTGGTCTGGATCAACTAGCGCTGCTGCCTCTGTCTCCTTCCCCAGCTCCTCCCAGCTGACATGCATCTACTTTGTAAAGTCATTTTGTAGCAGCATTTTTTAATGACCCCGTAGATCTTTACAGAATTTATTACTTTTTTTTTCCAGGAAAGATTTCTCAGGTGTTTGAAGGAACTTCTGGTTGTACAGGTCTGACCAGAGTGGTCAGTAGCCCTTTGCTTTGCTTCACTGGTCACTGAGTGTAGAAGGTCCAGATTCATTCGGATGCCATCTGTGTTAGTCTTCTCTGTTTCATGTAAATGTCATAACAAACACACTGATTTTGCTCTGTGAGGATTTTTGGATTTTTTTTTTTTTTTAACCAAACCTGGAGGCTAAAAAGTTGGTCTCGTTAGTGAAGAATGAAAACACCCAGCCTCAGATTTATACATATTTACTTTTGGGTTGGTTGGGTTGGGGTTTTTTGTATGGTTGCATATCTGAAGAACGTTGTTCTAATGATAGCCAGTGAAACACCATTATGTAGAATTATTGGGGAAAATAATTTTCTTGTAGTCAGTTTTAAGATGAACTGACTCTTTGGCCTACATGCTCAATTTAATTTTGTTTGCAGACAACATTATATGAATTAGTAAATGGATATGGAGGGGCCTACTGTACAAATGAGGAATATATATATACCTACGTCCTCTAGTCAAAGTGCTTTCCTACACAAAACATTTTCTTTCCTCTCTCTCGTTACAGATCAAGCATATGATGGCTT